TTTGAAATCTATTCTGTTCATTGTCTGCCCTGTGCAGGGGCTCTGTGGTTCCCAGAAGCCAGGGAGAAGATCCACCAGCAAAATAATTACCAGCACTTCCAACTTGAACATCTTCAGAGGTAGGTAGAGGTCAGAGTCCTGGGGCTAGAAGTGGGAACCAGCAAACACTTGTTTGTGGCTTGACTGGATGAGTTCCCTGTCCAAATCATGCCTCCAGATCATGCCAACATTATCCCTGTATGGAAGAGATTCTTATCTTTGTTGTTCAAATGGAGAAACCAAGGGGCGCTTGGGTGGCTCAGTCAGTTAAACATCTACCTTTGGCTCAGGTCATGATCTCGGGGTCCTGGGATCGAGCCCTGTGACAGGCTCCCTGCTCAGTCGGGAGTCTGCCCCCTCCCTTTCTCTCCCTCTTGCCCTCTCACCCTGTCATGCTCGCTTTCTCTCAAATAAATAAATAAAAAATTTTTTAAAACGATTTATTTATTTATTTATTTATTTAATTGACAGAGAGACACAGCGAGAGAGGGAACACAAGCACGGGGAGTGGGAGAGGGAGAAGCAGGCTTCCCGCGGAGCCGGGAGCCGGGAGCCTGCATGCGGGGCTCGATCCCAGGACTCTGGGATCATGACCTGAGCTGAAGGCAGACGCTTAACGACTGAGCCACCCAGGCGTCCCATATATCTAATATTTTTATGCAGAAGAATATTATGGTAATATGCATGTGAAATTCTCTAAGGAAAAATTCAAGAGTAGCCTCTGAAATTAGATCAATAGACTACTCTGATACTTTTTTTTTTAAAGATTTTATTTATTTATTTGATGGAGAGAGACACAGCATGAGAGGGAACGCAAGCAGGGGCGAGTGGGAGAGGGAGAAGCAGGCTTCCGGCAGAGCAGGGAGCCCGATGTGGGGCTCGATCCCAGGACCCTGGGATCATGACCTGAGCGGAAGGCAGATGCTTAACGACTGAGCTACCCAGGTGCCCCTCAAATAAATAAATAAAATCTTAAAAAAACAGAGAAACCAAGAGAAAGAGAGAGAAAGATGACGTAGATGAACACTGTGTCCCTTCACGTGTGATATCCTGAGAAGGACACTATGTAATGCCTACATAGGTATTCCCGCGAAGAATGTATAACCTGAGTCTATCTAATCATGAAGAAATTTCAGACAAATCACAAAATGAGGAATGTTCAACTAAAAAAAAGTTTGGCTGTATTCTTCAAAAATTTCAATGTCATAAGAGACAAAGGATGTTATTGGGTGAATGTATAAAATGGAAAACTGATGGTAGCTTAGATAAATATATAAAAGTATATTTTACCACTGTTAAATTTAATGAAGTTGATTAATTGTACTATGATCATGTAAGAGAATGTCCCTATTATAATACTCACTGAAATATTATTCCTGAATAAGGGCCATGATATGTGATATTTACTCTCAAGTTGTTCATAAAAAATATAATATATAAATATATATGAAATATATATGTGTAAGATGGAGGAAGGGAGAGAAAGAGGAGGTAATTATGGATAAATTCTTAAAATAGGTGATTCTGAGCAAATGCTATACGATGCTCTTTGTACTATTCTTACTTGTAACTTTGGAATTATTTCCAAAGAATAGTTCTTAAAAAGTTAAAGACAACCCATCTAATGGTCCACATGCCTCAAATTTTATTTTCCTATTTTCTAACTTTTCACATATGCCAAGGAAGAGAATAAGTTAGCCCTTCTAAAGAGTTTTGAACCTTTGGAAACGTCTCTACATATTGTGTCTATTTTTGAGCATTTGAAGAGATTTCAACCAATGTATGTAGGTTATCCTCTGCTTTGTTGAAAATGTGGAAGCAAAAATAAAGATTTTGAGGGAAAATCGGTCACTTGCCGGGAAAGAGACAATTACTCTCTTGTGACTATATAATTCATAGTATCTAGACTTCTCTTTTATCTTTGTTTCCTTTATCTGTCCTTCTGTTTGGCCTCGGGAGTGTGAAGCACCAGACTGGGAGTGAGAGAGAAGTGGGGAGAGACCAAAAATTTGGGGGAACAGTAGGTAACCTCTTCCTTCAGAACCCTGAATCTCATCACTAATGAGCTGCCTAAAATAGCAACTAGCACTTACTTTGCATATTCTGTGTTCCAGGTCCTTGACCCTCTTATCGTTCCTCTTTCACATTGATGTCCATCTATTATTATGTATTTCTTTTATATATCTTGTTTATTTTCTGTCCCCTGTACTAGAATGTAAGCTTTACAAGGGCAGGCATTTTTTGTAATTTTGTTCATTACTGTATCCTCAGTGCTTGGAAGAGTGGCTTATAGTAGTCACTAAATATAAGTATCTGTGGGATGAATAAATTGAGGACAGATGAGTGAAATATGGGCCCCCACTTACTCACCAGAATTAATTTCAAATAAGTTAAATTGTTGTTCTTTTTCTTTTTTAAAGAAAAGACCACAATAAAGTTAATGAGATGAACATTCACTCCTCTAGAGAAGAAAAGAGTCTGAGCCTAAAAATAACAACGGCCATTTGTTTTGCACATTCTGTGTGCCAGACCCTATGCTTGGTGCTTCATAGACTCAACATTTGCAACGTGGATTCTAATATTGCCCCCATGTTACAGGTGGGGAAGCTGAGGCTCTGAGAAATTAGGTAGTAGGCCAATCTCAAAACTTAAATTAAGCTCAATGCGTTGGGGTTGGGTTTCAAGCCAAGGTCTCTCTGACTCCAGTGACGATGTTTTGTTCTCTGTTCTACACAATACTGACAGTCTTCAGTGTGGTAACAAGTGGGAGAGAATTTCCTTTTTATGGTGGGACAAGATGGGCACAATAAACCAGTCTTAATGGAGAAGAAAACTGGCAACAGCTATGTAGGGTTTGAAATAGGCAGTGCCCTTTCCTCAGGACTTCTAGATCTCTACATTTGTGCTCTGAAGCTAATACCAGATTTAACTGAATTTTAGTTACAAGATGGTGCCTATTGATTTTTTTTTCTAAAGAAGAGAAATTATAAATTTTCAGATGTCTTATGATCAATGGCAACATATGAATGATATGTGTAACTATTGGGAAAATATTCACAGGGAGTGTTACTGATAATCTGTTGAAAAGTTTGTCCTTCATCTCATTTAAATTTACTCATTAAAGCGACTTCTTTTCCTGGCTCTGTGTGAGAGCTTGGGTATAGAACTTCAATTTTCTAGACACTGCCTAAACTTAGAATATATTAAAAAAAGTCTAAGCCCAGGCAATAGTCAAAATACTAAAACTGAATTAAAATCGTGGCTTCCCCCACACCTAGAAACCTGCAACTGGGGAAGAGAGTGACCAGTTTTCCTCTCCTCCTGCGGCTGGCTAAGTGCCATTTTGGAAGTGGATAAGGGAGAAGAGATGGGGAGGTCAGGACAGTTCTTTCTGGCAGGGAGTATTGTACTTCTGTGCTTTGTGCTTTCTGGGTGTAGTATTGCTTATAGTTGACTCTGTTGTGGGTGGTTTCACGCGTTCTTTGAGTCTTCCCCCAATCCCAACTGATGGACGTTTCTTACCTGTGGTTGTCTTGATATGGCTGAACCCACTTCCTTTCTGACACTTTTCCCAGACCCTAGGCATCTGACTAGTCACTTTCTACTTCCTTCTGCTGAGGTCCCATGGCCTTCCCAGGCACCCTGCCTGACATGAATCTAGTGCAAATCCACACTGGCTTTCTTGCATACATTGCCTTATCAAATGCCATAGTGGAGGCCTCTTGCTGTGGCCATAAGTCACTTCAGGCAGCCTCCTACCCTTTGTTTCTCTGGTGTGACTCAGACATCTGCTTATGTCTCCACAAAACCTTGGGACACATATACAGCTCTATGGGAGGTATTCTTAAAGCCTTTCTAGTGACTTGGAATTAAAAGAGCACAACATTCTTGGGTGCCTGGGTGGCTCAGTTTGTTAAGCGACTGCCTTCCGCTCAGGTCATGATCCTGGAGTCCCAGGATCGAGTCCAGCATCAGGCTCCCTGCTCAGCGGGGAGTCTGCTTCTCCCTCTGACCCTCTTCCCTCTTGTGCTCTCTATCTCTCATTCTCTCTCTCAAATAAATAAATAAAATCTTTAAAAAAAAAGAGCACAACATTCTTTAAAAACAAGAGAGAAAGATGACCAAAAAGGGGTTAGTAACTCTTAAAATCCTGACTTGTTTTAAACGTGGAAAATGGCCAGGTACTTGACATATTTTTTGCAGGTGATTTTTGAGCAGATTTTCTTTAAAGCTTAAGTTGACTTGTCTCACAAGCTCATTTTAAGGGCTATCCAAAGGTCTTGGCCAAAACTTTAATTTTAATATCATGTTACATATTTTTATTATTTAAAAAAATTTTAAATTTAAATTTTTTTTTAGAGAGAGAGAGAGTGAAAGCATGCAAGCCGGAGGGTGGGGGAGGAGCAGAGGAAGAGGGGGAGAGAGAGAATCTTAAGCGGGCTCCAAGCTCAGCACAGAGCCTGACACAGGGCTCCATCTCACGACCCTGAAATCATGACCTGAGCAGAAATCAAGATTTGGATGCTTAACTGACTGAGCCACTCAAGCGCCCCGAATATCATGTTATACATTTCTAGATAAAAAGTCAAGATATAGACAGCAAGCCTGATATGATTTCAGTTTTATGGGCACATATAGAAGACAGAATAACATACACCAGCATAGTGGGGTTGCTAGAAATATTTCATTGTCTTCTTTGTACTTTTTTATGTTTTAAGTATTTTGTCAGCTGGATTTGACTTATTTTTTCATCAAGGGAAGGCAACACATTTTTAAAATAATTTTTTTTTCTATAAGAGGGAAGCATGAAGTGTGAGATGCAGAGAAACCTTTTAGCAAAGCCAGTGTTCAGCTTAGGTGTATGCCTGTTGTTGGGTGGGTGGGGGGCAAGGAGGAACAAGTAGACAAGGAGCAAAGAGTTTCTATAAGCGCTTCTTCTTGCTTCACAACTCTGTTTATAGCTCTCGATTTCCAGCAGCAACTGGAAAGGGGAAAAACATCCTGACAGTATATATTCAGACACACACAGTCAGCATCATGAAGCTCTGGACACCTCAACTCATGGCATTCCTCTGTATGGAGCTACTCTCTGTGCTGGGAGTGATGAAGGAAAAATACAGCTGTAAGTGATTAGCCTGGGGGTGGGGGTACTGTGTCATGGGGGTACTGTGCTTGTTCCTAAACAAGCGAAGGGGTATTGTGTCTGGCACATCTGACTCAGGACTCAGGACCCACCTTCCCTGGGTCACCTATTAGAGATTCAGAGACTTTTTTTTTATGCACAGAGATCTAAGAAATGTCCAAGTTGAGGTCCTTCGATGCTTCCTCTTCCAACCTTGAAAGTGGCAACAGGTCCCTGTCACCTTTTATATACATTCTATTAGTTATAAGACGTATTATTTTTCCATGTCAGGCTACCATATCTTTCCATACCTCCAGAAGCTCTGTGTACTTTGATGAGTACTATAGGGGAATTTCTTAATATATACCCTTAGTTTCAGTGGCAAATCTTTTAGAATGTGAAAAGATAGAAAAGAGACATGAGATGTGTCTCTAGTGGGGCAAAGTTGAGGGCCATATGATGAGAAAATGGAATCAGTGGAGGGTGCCAAGAAAATGGGTGAGAGAGAAAAATTTGGTGAGAAGCTGTTCTTAAAGGCAGGGTCAACAAGAAAGAGAAGAAAAAAGGAGAGAATCTGTTCCTTATTCTCCCTGGTCTGGCTTCCCACACTAGGAAGTAGGTATAGTAATGAGGCTAGAGGCTGCCTTGGGCCCTGAGGTCTCCTATTACAGAAATGTAGATTTTATAGGACACATGAGTGTGTGTGTATGTGTGTGTGGGGGGTGGTATGCTGAATCCTATCTCTAGGAGGCTTGACGAGGGCCAGAGGCCTGTGGGAGCAGAGAAGGCAGAGATCTGTGAAGATGTAACGAGGAGGCTCAGTACAGGGATTTTCTCATAAGGCAGATGGATACCTGCGTGGGGCTAGGATTCTAGAAGGGGCTGTTAAGCTTATGAAGGACTTCTCTTCCCACCTTGGCTATGTGGCCCCTGTCAGCCTCTTTCTATCTCATGTCAATTACAGGGGATGAAATGTTCATTGAGGAGTGCTGGGGAGAGCCAAGTGTCATTGAATGTACCAAGAAGTGCTCTAGAGCCCTTAAATGTACAAACAAAAATTACACATGCTGCTGGACCTATTGTGGAAACATCTGTTGGAAAAATAAAGTGAGTTGGGAGGTGTGCTTGGGCATGGGTCTTCACTGATTCTCAGATGCTGTTATTCATAAACAGAAGACTGAGGCACCCCAAATCCTAGGCTCAAAAATAGTGGATGGTAATATCCCCTAAGCCTGGACAGCAGTTCAGTGGCAAATAAACCAAGACACCAGCTTGGGGCACATTGTTTCTTTCATTATATAATCAATGCCTATGTTGTCTTCGTTATATTACTCAATTGTTTGCTCTTTTCCCAATTTTTGTCCAAATTTCTAACCATTGCCTCCGTAGTCAGACATTTCAATGAACCCTTTTGGTCCAGCCAGGCCCCAAATCTCTACATTTCTCTGTTCAATGAACCAAACCCACCTCCCCACCCCAGAAGTGTACAATTCTTGGTGTTACATAAAGTACTCAGGTCCTGGTGTTTGGTGGGGATGAGTAATATTAAGCTTGGAATGAATGCTTGTTCCTCAGAGTTCCCTTAGCTTCTGAGTATATAACCTTTCTGTCTTGCAGGAAATCTTTGCATGAGGTCTAAATCCTAACCTCCCAGCAGGACACCAGTCTGTTCACACTGAGGGTTGGGCAAGAGCAAATCCTTGACAAATAAACTCATTTATCAGCAGTGGCTTTTGGCTTTTTCAACTCCCTTCCACTCCCTTTGATTACCCTATATACCCCCCAAATTGTTCACATCCTTGAGGCTACATAGCTTCTAACTCTTGCTTCCTCATTTGATTACCTTAGAACTGAGGCTAATCTCATGGGTTTCACAGAATAGAAGTTTATTTCTAGTATGTCATTTTCATGTGGGTAACTGGCAAGTAGCTCTTTCATTTGGTTTCTCAGAGAGCAGATCTCTGGTAAATTTGTTTCTCACAGGGTATGGGTAAAAAATTCCTTTTTTTTTTTTTTTTTTAGAGAGAGAGAAAGAGAGAGAGAGAAAGCGTGCATGAGCAGGGGGAAGGGAAAGAGGGAGAGGGAGAGAGAGAATCCCAAGCAGGCCTCATGCCCATCTGGGAGCTGGACACGGGCCTTGATCTCATGATCCTGAGATCATGATCTGAGCCCAAATCAAGAGTGGGACACTTAACCGACTGAGCCACTCAGGCACCCCTGGGTAAAAATTCTAAAATGACTTTACATGTATATAAGATGTATATAAGATTGTATATAAGATTGGACAAATAAGTAAATAACCAGGGATGATGGGAGCCTTTTTTCTAACTGTAAGAGAGAAGACGTTACAAATAAGCAAAATGGAAGGCTAGAATGAGCCCTGGGGATACTGGATTCAAGTCAAAGACATCAGTATGAACCCACATTCAGCTCAATATATATACAGAGAGATGCAGAAGTAAAATAGACATGTGTATACATGGATTAGTTACACATGTGTATATTTCCTGGCTATGCCTGGAAACAGTGATAACACAGTAGCAATAAGCACACCAGGAGCCCAGATCTTGGTTTTTATTACTGTTCTCCAATAAATGGACCAAGGCTTCTTGGAGAAATGGCTGATTCTAGAACTAGGCTTAGAAAATACAAGATGAGGGCGCCTGGGTGGCTCAGTTGGTTAAGCGACTGCCTTTGGCTCAGGTCATGATCCTGGAGTCCTGGGGATCGAGTCCCACATCAGGCTCCCTGCTCAGCAGGGAGTCTCCTTCTCCCTCTGACCCTCTTCCCTCTTGTGCTCTCTATCTCTCATTCTCTCTCTCTCAAATAAATAAATAAAATCTTTAAAAAAAATAAAGAAAGAAAGAAAGAAAATACAAGATGACACTGGAGTATCTTTTAGGGTCAGAAAGTAAGGAAATGCTATAAAGTCAAAGAATGGGAAACAGGAACCAACCTCAAAGAGTTCCCAGTAGCCAAAGCCTAGAACAATTTGAGGATAAAACTGTCTCTGCTGGTCTATTAAAACAAGATGTTACAAAGTTAATGAAAAAATATTAGAGAACTTCAATGTAAAACTACTATTAAAGAAAACAGAATGAATGAAAATGGAAACATTTCTGCAGAAAAAAAAAATTCTCCCACCAGAAACATCTTGTCAGGGAGAAGGGAAATACAACACTTGCAACTTTAATTAAATAAACATCTGTAAACAAAGGTTTTAACAGTTGAAAAAAATACCTTGAATCAGAAATTTAAAAACTCAGCACATAAGTAGCCAAAAATCCAGGAAGACCTGAAATCAGAGGTGGACAGAACAAAAAAAATCAAAGAAAAAGTTAAAGGTCATCTCAGAAATAAAGATTGTTACAAAATTTCAAGACAGAATAAATTCAACTGAACTACAAGAGGCATTGAAAAAGAACGAAAGAAGACAATATTCACCTAATGAATCATTGAACATTATATCAAAAACTAACGATGTACTATACCTTGGCTAATTGAATTTAAATTAAAAAAAGAAATAAATGCAAAATAAAATGCAAAAAGTAAAAACAATGAAAGATTAATAAAGAAGATGGAAAAAGAAAACCTAAATAAATAAATATAATTGGAGTTTTCAAAAAAACTCCACAAAGTTAACAGTATTCAAAACTAGAAAGCATTCCATCAATAAAGGAAACCTAAATCCACATAAAAAGGAACCTCCATATACCCAGCAACAGTGACCCAGAATATCCTTAGAATTCAGATGCATGGTGTTCTCTCATGTAGATTCTTTTACCTTCTCATACCCACTCACTAATGCTTTTCAGGAAGTGAACCCTTCCCAAGCCAAGACACTGGACAGACACTACACTCACTGATGGGTATACACTCCTAGAGAATGTAATTTTAATGGTAGGATTTTAGGCTTAGAAATAACTTCCTCAGGTTAGAGCCTTCCTTAAATCCTGCATGTCATGCCCATATGCCCATTCTAATTATATTTGGGCCAAAGAGCATTTCTTAGTGGTAGATCTTGTACTCAGCACCTAAAGCCAACACTTGCATTCCAGATAACTTCCTATAGCTCCTGAATTAGGCACCTTGGGTTTGTTATGACACAGACTATTACCAGAGGCAGTGGTGGGACACACTTTGTGGGTGCAGGCGTCAGTATGACCCACTTGTGAGCATTGGGGGCAGGCAAAGGATGGAAATGAGGCAGGAGTTGATCATCATCATGGTGTATGAGATGCGGAAGATACTTCTAGAGTCCTCCCATCTGCACTGACATAGAGAAGGAGCATGACTGGAGCATGAGGAGAGAACAATTATTGCAGAAACCATGAAAACCTCGAGGCCGTGTATTCGTCACCAACAGAACAGCCTGATCAACAATTCTCCGCAGGCTGGGACTTGGCTTTTTGGACACCCAGGTCATGGCAGAATTAACATTAGCTCCCTCCTCTGCCTCCTTGAGAGTCAAGGTCTTGCAGGGGTCCCCACTCCTCCTCTCGACCTACCAGAGGGGCACACAGCTGTTCCATAGGACAGAACATGGAGTGCTGGCCAGGCAAGCACTCCACCAGTCAAAGCATTCTAGGTATAGCCTCTGAGTCCACTGGGGCAGGGTAGAGTGAGTGTCCAGGGAGCTCTGTGGAACACAGGCCCAGGACACCACGTTATCACAATGGAGAAGACCAGCTGCTTCCAGTAGAATTCGTGGTCCGAGGTGCTCATGCCAGTGGTAAGGAATAGGTCAGCCGGCAGCATGGTGTACCTACATGGTAGGGAGCACTGGTTGTAGACGTGGAAGGTCACTCCCTATGTGGGCCCTGGCAGGTAACCTTTTGTCCCTTAATAGTCTCTCCCAGGGTGTTTGGGGCATGGCCAAGCACTGGGAAGATGCTTGCAGAGTCAGGCTATGTGAGGAAGCACCAAGTCAGAGCTCCTGCAGAGCATGCTCTCACCGCCCACCTGTGTCTGATGATGTCTGTGCTACTGGTTGATCATAATCTCTTTCCTAAGGTCTCCTGGTCCAAGGGCTGGTTGATCATGATCTCTTTCCTAAGGTCTCCTGGTCCAAGGGCAGGTCCGAGGAGAGGTGGAGAAGCTCCTCCGATACCAGGAGCCCTGGAATGCTTCTGAGGTGGGCCAGAGGCTCTGGCCTGAGAGAGGCAGGTTTCCTCCTCTGGACAATCCTTCACTGATGCCCAGCAGGAAACACTGGACTGGAGTGTGACACTGCACACCTGCCCCCAGCAAGGCCCACCTGCCTGCCTTGAATTCTTCCCACTTGACTCCATGTCCCCACTGGGCACATGGGACCTAGTCCCTGGATTTAGCCCCAGGACCACCTCAGAGCAGCTGTGCTTGCACAGAGTGGTCCGGAGTCTGTCCCTCAGTGATTAAGGTCCACCGATTCTCCCTGGGACCATGGACAACACCCATAGCCACCCTTAGTAGCCAATTAATCCTTAATAACCTTTAATCACCTATTGTCCACCATGTGGTTTCTCCCTGGATTTAGAAAAGGGAGAGAATGAGACCCTATGGAGGGGGCTTGGGGAAAGGTGGGGACTATTCAGTTGATGGAAGGCCCTGGAGTCTCAGGTCCTGGTACCTCGTTCCAGGCCCCGTCCCAAGAGTGGCCATATTGATGGCGAATGGGGTGGGAGATATTAGTGTGGACACTCACTTCCATGCACATGGTCTCCCCATAATGGAGGAGCTGTGAGCAAACAGGAGGTCCAGACAAACATCCTCCTCTAGCTACATCATGACCTTTCACTCTCTTTTGCCTTGAGCATGTGCCTTAACTTCCCTCAGATTGGTTTTCTTCATTGTAAAAGGACAGTTATCTGAACCTCACAAGGAGAATGGGGAGAATGGGGTGGGGGTGGGTCAAGTTTAAGAAGAAACCTCCCTGGGGACCTCCTACTCTGTGGCCAGGGTCTAGCCTCCACCTGCCTCATGTTTAACTTGGCCCTTCTGACCCCAGGCTGAGGAATGTTCTGGTTAGCATTGGAGATACCACACATGAGCAGTTTCTCCCTGGGAGTACTGGTTCAGTGAGCAGATCAACAATGAGGGTGGGCCCTGGGGACCTGGCAGGGGTGCGGGGGCCAACGGGAGAGAAAATAGAGAAGAATGACAAGGGGAGAGAGATCAGAGACCTGGACCAAGAGAGCGGGCCACTTTGGGGTCTGCCCTGGGTCCTCGATGATCACAAGCACTGGGACTAAAATGAGCAGATCTGTGGACATTTGTTCTGGTTTATTTGACAGGAACAAGCAGTTCAGACAGGGGGGAGGGTGCATTCCTGTTGGCATCCTGGTGCCCGGGATCTGAGTTCCTTGTGCCTTTGTATGAAGAGAGATTTGGAGGAACAAGATGCACAGCCCAGCCCCCTCACCCACTCACTGGAGGCTCATACAAATGTTCCTGCAGAAGGTCGAACAGCATGTTATTTGTTTGACAGCCTTGATGATATTCACATGGGCATCTGCACATGTATATGCTGGTATGCTTTCAACAGACCTTGATTTCTTTGAATAGCTCTGTTTTTGAAGCAGAGCAGGAACAGGGTCAGTGCAACCAGATCCCTTGAGAGCTCTCCTTTCAAATCCTCCCTCAAAGACTCCGGAACCCAGGTCCTACTCATGATGCTCTTGGACTTGTCAGAGAACTCACTCTCTGCCCTTCACTCAATCCTGGTGATTGGTAGTATCTTAAATCCTATATCCCCTCATTTTCCCCCAACAGATCTCAATACCTGGCCTTCCTGGGCGCTCTGCATACTCTGTAGCCAGGACCCTGTCTCCCACATTAGTCATGGCCCTGATGAAGGCCCCCCACCATAGAATCTACACTCTGAGAACTCAGCAGAGACTGAGACATCCTGCAGATCCTCCCCACTCTCCAGAATTTGCAGGGTCCAGAGAGGAAGACGACTTCCCACTCTGCCCCCTCTCTCCTGTCACGGTCACTTTCTCCAGGGCCCTTGCTTCTTCCCAGAAAATACCACTTGCACTATTTCCCTTCCACTACCACCATCCTGGTCCCGCTGATGATAACTTTGACTTGACCCTGTACAACCCAAAACTTGCTTTCCCATGGTCCTTTCATTCTACAACTACTCCCACCAACATTTCTGGATGTAATGTGTCACATGTGTGCAGAAATCTAAGAATAGTTGTTTGGTTTCCCCATGTGATTCTCAGCCCATGTTGTACCTTTCACTACTCTATGTACCGTTTGTGTCTGGGTATTTGGAATGGAGAATCAAAAGATGTAGGTTCCCCCACCACCCCCATCACTGTTCCCAGGGCTGGGTAAAGGGGTCAGAGGGCCATGGTTTGGGAGGACCCAGAGTCTTCATAGTGCTGTGGTCTGAGCAGAATGTGCTGAAAGGTTCCAATTCCCAGGTGCTCCTCAGAAAGGACACAGCCCTTCCTGGCCCCCTTCCCCTCCCTGTCCCCTAGTCCATCACCTACTCTGCATCATCTTCGGTTTCCGGTACCCTCCCTGGGCCTGCAGCAGCACACAGAGGAGCAGGATGAGCAGCAGAGCCTGGCTTGGCATGACTCTGGGCAGAGTGGAGAGTGCTCAGTCTGGCACAGGCTTCCCTGGAGAACTGAGTGGTTATCCTGGGCTCCTCCCTGCTTCCACTGGCCAAACAAGGAGCCCTGTTTCCTCCCCTTTGCCTGCCCTTACTACAACCTGTTCCCTATGGGACTTGGGCTTCTGCAGAGGATTCCTGCTCTCACATGACTAACCTCCTCTTTTGCAAACATTTTTTTCCTACTTTCTAATTATAAGATAATTTACAGAAAAAGAGCAAAGTATAATTTTTAAAAAATTATGATAATCTAAGTGTAGAGAGTTAACATGTGTCTTTTTATTACCATTCCATTTTTTTTCTTTGCAGATTTAAAATAAGCAATCTATTGTTTTCTCACATTTGGAATCACCCACCTATTGTTACCCAACCAGTCCCATCCTCATTTAAACAGGTAAGTATTTCACAATACAGTTTTCCATACTTACACACGTCTCACTTAAAATCAATGCCTATTTTCAAGCATTTGCATTGTACTAATCACTGAGTATCTAGACAATATATTATGTTGAGCATTTTGAACCATAAATCTTTTTTAATTTTTTAGAAGTATTTTTTAAGATTTTATTTATTTATTTGTCAGAAAGAGAGACAAAGAGAGAGAGCAAAGCATGGGGAGCAACAAGCAGAGGGAGAAGCAGGCTCCCCGCTGAGCAAGGAGCCCAGTGCAAGGCAAGACTTGATCCCAGGACCATGGGATCATGACCTGAGCCAAAGGCAGACGTTTAACCAACTGAGTCACTTAGGCATCCCCATAAATCCTTTTTTAAAGATATCTTTATTTATTTGAGAGAGAGAGAGAGGGAACAGGGGGAGGGACAGAGGGAAAGGGAGAGAGAGAATCTTAAGCAGACCTCAAGCTGAATAAGGAGCCTGACCCAGGGCTCAATCTCACAACCCTGCGATCATGACCTGAGCAGAAACCAAGAGTCAGATGCTTTACTGACTGAGCCACCCAGGTGCTCCACAACCATAAATGTTTTATTTTTTAGATTAATATAGGAAAGGTGGAATTTATGGGTGTAAGAGTGAAGTAGGTATTCTAAGTAAATAAATACACACATGTATGCATGTATACTTATATATACACACACATATATATGGAGAGAGAGAGAGGGAGAACTGGTTTTATAATTAAACATGTTTAAATCATGTTTAATTCAACAGAGGATGAGTGTCAATTTCCTCAAAACTTGTAATGCACCACAGTGTAAGTTAGGAGATAATGGGCAGGAATGAGTCTTTTATTGTCTCTAAAGATTTGAGTAGCAAAGGAATGTTCATAGGTTTTGTGCTAAGACAGATGGGGAGTTGAATCCTAACCCCAATATTCGACAGTGTCATAACACCGGGACAATCTTATGACCTCTATAGACTTAGTTTGCTCATTAATTCTTGGCACCTCCACGGTGAAGATGAAATAAGATGACACCTATAAACACCTTCATAGCACCTGGCACTCAGTAGGTGCCCAATGTAGTACATTTGTGTGATCTCCAGTCTTGCTTCCCAACCTCACAAAGCAAGCCCCAGGGACCAGAAGAATTCTCTTTTCTCTTATTTTATACTGGGTATTAAGACCCGGCCCTGGATTGGACTCTTCGAAGAAAAACCTTTTGGTCCAGGAGTCGGGGGAATTTGCAAGCTTATCCAAGCAGATCCGTCAACTCCACGTGGATTGGTGGCAGAGCCAGGAGTAGATACAGGAACTCAAAACAGCCATTTCAAATGAACTACCTCTACTCTCTGAAAGAACAGAAAATGTGGGGGAATTTGTTCTGGTTTTATGGAGTGAGGGGGTGAATCCTGAGTCAGGGACCTTTTCCGTTCTGTGAGGTCAGAGTCACTCTACCTTGTCCTTCAACCTAAGTTATTTCTTCCTGTTGACAGGCTCCACCACCTACTCCCTTGGGCGGCACCCCTCAGGCTTTCCTTCTCCCCTGCCTCCTTGTTTACCCTAGTGACTGTGGACAGATTTCCACAAACTGTCTCCTTTTTCAATGTTTTCTGGGTGGGATAGTTTCACCCAAAGAGATGCAATCTTCACCCTTTAACCTGAGGTCAATTGTGCAGATCTCCTTCTCAAAAAAGGATTCCTAAGGGATGCTTAAATTTCCATCATCAGCCATTTTTTCTTTGGAGATTGGATCCCTTTACAAATGCAAATACTGTATGGTCTCATGTATATGTGGCCAGAAAACAAAAGACAGCCCGAACTCATTCATACAAAGAATAGTTTGGTGGTTGCCAGAGGTGGCAGGTAGGGTGTGAAGAAAATGGTGACGAGGGTCAAAAGGTACAAACTTCCAGTTATAATATAAATAAGTCCTGGGGATGTACTGTACACCATGGTGACTGTAGTGAACAATAGTGTATTGCATATTGAAG